GGATGTGTCTGACTGCGTATGAGGCTCGCTCTGGCTGCGGATGTGTCTGACTGCGTATGAGGCTCGCTCTGGCTGCGGATTTGTCTGACTGCGTATGAGGCTCGCTCTGGCTGCGGATGTGTCTGACTGCAGACATATGCACATCCGGCTTGTTCTGGCCAGGAGGGGGGGTGACCTCTGAACTACTGTGCCCGGGGCAGCAGCTTTGGTGTGTAATTGCACATCCACACTCAATTCTCATTTCTACCTTGGGCACTGAAGAGGCCTCTTCTATACTGCTGTCCATTTGATGGTAAATATAAACATGTCAGATACTGAAGACCAGCTTGGAGAATGAGTCCCCCCCCCAACCTCCAGAATCTGGAGGAGCGTGGAAACGTGGAGATACTGCTGTGACAATAAATTTCTCTCCTAATACAGTGCAATAAAATTAATTTGATCTGCTCTAGGAGTAAAAATGGCTGGCTGGAAAGTCAGAAGTCACTCCAGTCTCTCTGGTTCCTGAAAGTTCAGGGGGGTGGTATTTACATTTTGAAGTCCAAGCAGGCAGGAAGTGGCAAGCTTACATTGGCACTCTGTGTCTTACTGGGTCAGATGACTGGGGCCTCTGTTTATCCCATAATGCTTAGTGGTCATGCCATGCTGAGTCCCCTGAGTCACTCTTCTGCCCAGCTGGCAGGTGAGAATCAAGGTGCTGGGAGGGGGCCTCTGCAAGGATCCCTAAAGCACCCCAAACGTCTTCATAGTGTCCCCAAAGGGTCCCCATGTGGCTCAAAACCATCACCAAACGGTCCTCAAAGCCCTCCATCCATAGCAATCCCATTTTTCAGAGGGGTTTGGGTGATATTAGCCTTCACATCTTCACCAGGCACATCTTCGCAGCAGATTTGTATGTGTATCTGCGCACCGGCAGGTATGTGTGGGGGGGTGGGGGGGTGGTGCTCCCACTATGATGTGCTGAGGTCAGCCTACATGTTACACCAAGACATTTCTCGAGGGGGAAAACGATTTGTTCGGCAGTATATGTCTGAAGCGAGCGAACCTCCACGTCATCTGACGAGGGGCACATCTGACCCGAATTTGGGACATATGAAAAACTATAAAAAATGTTAAAATATGTATAATCAGTGAGTAATAATTTTGCTCACAGTGTCTATGTAACCATATATGCGCATTATTTGAATGGATCAATGTAGGATGATGGGATATTAAAAGCAGGTGCTGAAGGACCGAGGTCGATGCTCACCCTCATCCTTGTCTTCATCTTCATCCTCGTGCTTGCCGTGGTGCGTCATGGCCTGGGGCTTGGCTGCCATTCCAAGCTGCACAGACAGGCCCCATTTCCCCCGCAGGGCTTCTGAATCGCAGGCATTACAGCGCATTGTTCTGCGGGGAGGGGGGGGGGGGGGATGCAGCTTGATGCACAAATCAGGATTCTCCCTGTCGCCCCCCACAAATTTTCTCTGATGTAGCCTTTCCACATCCTACGCATGATCCGTCTCTCCATGGCGCCATTTACTCTCATGGAGAAGCTTAGGGGGGAGGGCATCGTGTAACCCAGCCCCCACTATTATACATATACTCCGTCTCTCCCTGCAGAGCCATCACCAGCCTGCAGGAGGCACTCATGCAGCAGTGTCTGACAGACCTCCGCTGACTAACACCCGGAGGCGTTTTAAGAGCAGCTGTGAGACGTCAGATTTCTGTAACAAGTATGTACACACAGTATAAGAAAGGCCCACCCAGGTTTAAACAGAAGTTGGAACAAAACCGCCTTCTTGAACAGGAGCGAGTGTGTGTGTTTACGTGTGCGTGCAGCATAATGTAATATTCTGAGGTAATTACCACAGTGACGTGGCCTTGACGCTTCCTAGCTGTTCAAATTTGGTGTCTATGAGTGCCTGCTTAAACTCCCTGTGTGAAGTGCAGGCTGTTCTGTGGCGTTAACCAGCACGGTGAGGTGGAAAGGCAGCTCAGTCGAAAGCACTCCACCCTCACACTCACACTCACCTCTCCCCAGTGTCTGCATGGGCTGTTATCTCGCTGCGGTGCTTGTAATCTCACTTGCTTAAGCATCCTCGTTAAGATGTGACTGAAGATCATAATGCCAAATGACTTAAGCCCAGCGCCATGCCAACTGTGCTGTTTGGCAATTACCGTGTGAGGAAAGGACAAGGCCAAACCAGGACAAACCAAACAAACCAGGACTAGCACAACCGAACCAGGCCAAACCAAGCCGAACCAGGACTTGCCAGGCTGAACCAGGCCAAACCAGGACTAGCCAGGCTGAACCAGGCCAAATCAGGACTAGCAAGGCTGAACCAGGCCAAACCAAGCCAAACCAGCACTAACCAAGCCAAACCCAGTCTAAACCATGCCGAACCAGGACTAGCAAGGCCATACCACGACTAATCAGGACTAAGTAGGTTAAAGCAGTTTTGTGCTCTTAGTCAATAAACCAATCTTTATTTATATACCACTGCTTTAACTACTGGGTTTACAAAGTGTTTTACAGACAATTTAAAAGAAGAAATTAAAATAAGCACACAAGAAATAACAATTACCACTGCCTCCACTGGGGACATTAACCCCTACCACACCGGGAAGTCTAGCGCCTGCCTCATCTGGCACCGGTGACATGGAGCAAGGTGAGTTTGAGGTGGCACTGTACTAGAAAACATGTCTCCAGAATATTCCAATTAAAATAATTTATTGTTATATTGTGAGACATGGACACTAGCCAGTGACATGAGACAAAGACTGGACTCCCATAGGACTGTACAGTGATCCCCTGCCTATCGCGGAAAATGCGTTCCAGACCCATCAGTGATAGGTGAAAATATGTGATATAGAAAGACCATACAAATTTTTTTTTTTTTTATAGTTTAAGCCTTAAAATACCCCTCCCACACACTTTAAACACATGTAAACTTATTAAAACAACACATATGATATGGGGATGTGTAGCTAAGGATATGAGTAACATAATAATAATAATAATAATAATAATAATAATAATAATAATAATAATAATA